TACAAACTTTGTAACAATTACTGTCTTTGTTTGTTAGACTCATTACTATGACTGTATTTTTAAAGAACTTGGTTTTAATTCTACAGTGTACATCTAGAAATCCAACTTTTACTAACAGTTCACTCTTTAAGAATGAAAGTCTTCACAATCACATTTCAGTCTATAATTCTGCTAAAATTTCAGACAACGAAGGTGAGTTTGATCTACCCTACATATACTGGATACATTGCCGGGACTAGCAAATGCTCTACCAAGCCCTTATCTTTACTCCTCAGAAAAATATAATCTGCTGTAAAGGAGAAACTTCAGATGGTCTCTTCAAACTATTTGCGTGTATTTTGTGGGAGATCGTCCTCTTTTGAAGTGTACAAACTTTTGCACTGTTGTAGAATATTATCATTGATTTCTCTTCTCCCACGTATACAGATAATTTTGGTTTGAAAAGGGAAGCAAAGAGTTTAATTACCAATAAATATTTATGCTTAACAACCATTCTGGGAAATTATTTTCAAAATATTCATTATAATATTGATTTCAGAATATTATCGTTATGCCTTTTCCTACTAGCTTGGAGAATGATATATAGTTGGATTGGCCATTAAAGATGGGGAAAAGATTATAATTTTTATTGGCAGTGATAAAATGGGTAAGAAAGACTTCATAAACAGTATGTCATGGTTTACACAATATAGCTCGAGATTGTGTTTCTAAAACTTAATTTCATAGCTGCATTTAAAAAAAAATTTGGCTTTAATTCTACATTTGGTAACCAAACATATATTCACAGTTTCCTTTCAAATGATGAAATGCTTCAATTCAGTTTTAAATACTTTAAACATTCTAGTCAGCGGAAGTGAATTCAATTCACCAAACCTATGTTGGTTTCCAAACTTCATAAAAATTACATAAATGTTCTACCAACCCCTTATTTTTACTCTTTAACAAAATATTAACTGCTGTGATGAAGGAACTTCAGATGTACTGTGCTTCAAAATATTCAAGAAGTGGTGTAAATAAAATGTAGATTCTCAAAAACAAATTGAAATCCCTTTTTTAAAAAAAACTATTACATTAAAACTATGATTTTTCAACACTTAATGCAACCGTTTTTTTTTCAACAATAAATATAAAAAACTAGATTTTTTCTGCACCACACACAACTGTTTCTTTAATAGAAATGGAATTCGAAAATGTTCGTATCTTTTTTTTTCACATCTACCAAATTACTTTGTTAAAAATCAGTCTGAGTCTACACAATTAAAGAAGTATTTGGACAACGATCTTTTGGAATTCTGGTGTATACTAACTGGTCCCTATATAAGCTGAACTGTGTTTATAAATTTATGAAGGAAATTATCTAAAAAAAAGTTCTAAAGGAGAAAAAGAAAACTTAGTGTTGCTTTCAATTGGACATCAAGATATATCGACGATCTCTTATCCATTAGCAATATTATGTCAACACGATATTTTGACCTTGAACTGAACATAAAGATTCCAAAGAGTTTGCCTCATATTTTACATGTTTTATTGGCTAGTGGCAAATTAATGACTTAAGAAAAAAAGATGTCTTCAGTTTTTCCATCGTCTTCTTCCTATATCTATGCATTAATAATCAAATATCAGCTGCATACAGTGTTTATGTTGGTTTGCAAGAGCACACTCTGGGAAAGATTAAGTTCTTTATCAAGGCTACAACTGACAAATAAGTTGATGTTATAAGCTTTTAACAATTTCCTTTTAGTTCATCATTTCGTAAATTATATGGCCGTTGTAATAACCTTGTTCACAGTCCGTGTCATATTCTGAGTGACATGTTTCGTGCTAATTGAGAGGCCATTTTTTAAAACCAAAGTTTCAAGAAAATCTATCATTTAGGTAGTTTTAGGGACCATCTCAAAGCACAGTTACATGAGAAAAATTGTTGAGTACAGTATATGCAAGAAACACAAAATTCTACAGTCTTGTTTCCAATGGGGACATTTCAAAATGTCAAAATTTACGATTTTTTCATGCCTTTTACGGAGTGGTACATAATATCACAGATAATAAGAATGTGCACAGAAAATAACAAAATATTGTGACGCTTTGAAATTCCTGTATTTAAAAATTCAAGAAATGTTTATACTTTTCTCTATATAACACATTTCATGACCCTCTCTTAAAGAACGTCTGTTTTTCATAACGACATAAACACTATATATAAGGACGTCCATTTACCTATCAGTTTAAAAATTAATTCTTAAACTTAATATCACTTTTGGTGAACTTGAGAAAACAAAATTACAGTTTAAAAGTTTGAAAACATCGACGAACTAACTTATGTTACATAAACAATAGTAAGCAGACTATGTATCAAGTGGTGTAAAAATGCTAAAAGCCGTACAGATTGTGTTTGTATAGAGGGAAGAAATTGTAAGGAAGTCATGTTTTGACGTTAAAGTGTTGTTTACAATGCTCAGTAGTGAGAAAACATTCAGTAACATGAGTTTTATTTGTTTAAATGGAATGAAACTTAACACACCAGCAAAATAAATGCTTTTACATTTGATAGTGTGTTGATCTTCAATTTCTAAAAAAAAATGATATCACAATGAGTGATCATATCCTCACAATCTTAAATAACCCTCGTGCAAGTGTATTATTTATATGAGGAAAAATGTGCCTCCTTTCAAAACTTGAAGTATAAATTGTATCTTCAAGGTCGTTGTACAGTGGTTTCCAATAATTAATTGTATTATAATTTTTCCCATATTATTTTTTACCTACAAATGTGTATAATTACTTTATTAAAATTTTATTTTCGTGTGTTTCTATTTTCTATTATCCTTTTTACACATATTCATGCAAGCAAATGTCATGATATTCAAGGGTAAATGCCTGACATAAAAAAGCCTACAAAGATTCATGTGTCTGGATGTCGGTTGAAGACGGTTATAAAACGTGACTGACTTAAGATACACCAAACATTTCACCTGTCTTCACCTGTCTTCACCTGTCTTGACCGTGTATCATAGATAGACTTACTTTAGTGAAGATTTGAAATTTACATGTCTTTGACAAGAAAAGTAAATGTTCTCGTACATAAAATATTTTTTATTGATATTTTTGTAATATTTACTTGTACCACAGTTATATATTTTTCTTGAAAATGTGGGTTATCTAAATAGTATTCACACTTTCCTTTAATTAGAACTCCATCCATAGAACATTGCAAAGAACCAAGTCACATATTTTTAATCCGCACTAGACTTACCAATCTAAAGAAAGAAGAAAAAGATATTGGACGATCGTTATTAATTAGTTAGCAAAGTCGTATGTTAAGAAGAATGACAACAACCAAATATCATGGCAAATTAATAGTTCATTTATGTGCAATATTCAGCTTTTTAATAAAATTCCCATTAATATCCAATTTCAGATGGACATTGAAAACTTAATTTTAGACATTGACTTTTGTTAACAATTGATAAACAAGAGCATAAATAGCCAAATTATTTTTAAATTCATTTTTAAGACTATTTTCATTGTTTTCTCATTCATAAAGACATAATTTTGTTATTGAGAGTATTGTCTGGTAATGACATCTTTGGTTTCTCTAAATGATTCTAAAATGTTCTATTTATAACAAACCAAAAAACTGGAACATAGAATGAAAAACATACATGAACTTAAAGTTTCGTACTGAATCTATTGTGCATACTCCTTAACAGTAGTAAATGTTTGAAATTATTGTTGAATATGGAATAAAGTTGACCTACCAACGCGTATATTCAATTTATCTTTATCAACTATGGTACAGGTAACTTCCCCCATATAATCTTGCTCATTATGTGAAGATGCTCGATAGACGTGGTGATAATGACAACTCAGGATTTACGCTCCCTCGTGTAATTATGACCATCCCACTGGGTATCTGCACATAACGAACAATATCATACTGGGTAACTACTACTTAAACACAGTTATGATTTTTTCCCCTTATATAACTTTTGTAAAACATTTCTGATTCTCGAGTGTACCCAGAGAGATTTTTCCCTCTATTAACTAAATTTAGACCAAAAAAAATTAGTCTTTTAAAAAGGCATTCTTCTGATTACAAAGTAACTGATGTCGTGTAAAATAAATTGTGTCATGACTTATTCTATCAATGATTCGCCAGTGCGTCCTGTGTACATTGTGTGAGAAATGGTACAGTATATCATGTTATCCGGATTTTATGTACTGTGTGTAATAAAATTAGCAACAAAGATGAAATATCAAAGAAATAAGAGTTGTCACGGTAGTTTACTGGTAGGACGTTCGCTTTGTGATCGGGAAGCCCGGGTTCAAAGAGAAAAGGAAATGATCGTGTGTAAATTTCCTGAAATATAGATAGATGACTGAAATTTGACGTTAGATGTTTGGACATGTGATCGATTGATGTTAAGCAGCTTCAGAGTTTTATACCAGAAGAAACTTTGTTTCTAACGAATTCTGAAGGGTTTATAATTTGTATTGCGCAATTGTTGGTTAACAAGAAAAATGCAACCACATTTTTTTCGATTTGACCAGGTCTCTGCGAATGTCACTTTTCAGGAAATTCTCATCTCTGGTGAGGCAAAATTGAAAAAAGAATCTATTTGTTGTTAATTTTTATTATTACGTTTGTTCCAGAATTAATTCCCTATTAAACATACATTAGTCAGTGAAAGCATAAGTAAATCTATAACAAAGAGGAATATTCTTAGCTTTGAACGCTTTGACAAACATTTGGAACAGTGTACAAATTTCAGAACAACAAGTTTGAAACATAAAGTTACTTAGATCACATAAAGCCAAAGCCTCAAACGTCACAAGTCTCACAGTATAGTTATTTCGTTTTAATTCAAATATTTTCAAGGGAAAAAAAATCATTAATGACGATAAAACTTTAATTGTTTTATTTGTCCCTCTTTTTCTACAGAAAGATAATCTGTAATGAAATACATATATATTTTGAAAATTAATTTTAAACAAAATTTCTAACTTCTCGGTTCCCCCTTCTGTCCCTTTTCTCCAATGTCACCCATGCTTCCTTTGACGTTTTGATCGCCTTTTACACCCTTCTCGCCCTTTTGGCCCTTCAGTGTCCCTGGTTCCCCCTTGCTCCCCTTAGCTCCAGCAGCCCCTGCACTTCCTGTTGCTCCCTGATCTCCTTTGCTTCCCGCCTCGCCTTTAGCTCCTTTGGCTGCTGGCTCCCCTTTTTGACCTTTGCTACCTTGGGTACCTCCACTACCGGTTTCCCCAGCCTGTCCTTGGTCCCCCTTTCCCCCTTTGCTTCCTGTTGTTCCTGTTTCCCCTTTATTTCCTTTACTCCCTGTATCACCCTGGTCTCCTTTAAATCCTTTTTCCCCGTTAGCCCCAGCAGAGCCCTGGGCCCCGTTGTCACCTACAGAGCCTTGGTCTCCCTTTATACCTTTTTGTCCTGCTTCGCCTTGTTCACCCTTTAGACCTGCATAAAATATACCTTAATGTAATTCCTTGCAATGTGCCTAATTTGTATAGAAATTTAAATATATATTAAGCTTTTTGCTTTATAACACAACGATTGACATTTATGAGTTTCTTATGATAACTGAACAAGAAAAAGAATTCAAAGTAAAAATAAATCTTGTTCTTTAAAGATAGATAAGTATTTATATTGACCATGTAAAAATTAAAAAAAAAAAAGTTTCATCCTATAAACATAGTAAATTTGAAAACTATTTCCAAGTGCATTCACATTCACACAAATAAAACAAATCGTTTTTAAATGTCAGTACCTATATAGGTGACAGGCCCTATCAATTCTTTATTGGAATTTACGATAACACATTATAATAATGGTAAGATGAGCATTACTCTTCAGAAAAAGGGGAATTCAAACAATCAGGATAGAGAAAATTATTCATTATATATTTATCAAAAGACTTAATTGAATTATTTGATATTACATTTCTATTATGAATGAAATCAGGATAATTATTGTCGTTGAATATTCTTGTAATCCGAATTTTAGAATTGACTTGAAATTAAATTTACAATATGTCGCACTAGAGTCGCGGAGTAAGGAGTTCCAATCCCATTGCGGGACATGGAGACAGGTCCTTCGGATGAGACTGTATGAACCAAAGTCCCGTGTCGCAATAGGTGCTGGCACGAAAAAGATCCCTCACTGCTCTAAGGCCGTAAGTGCTGAGTACAGTCCTCCACCGACAAGTGGTGGCGTCTCAATAAGAATGAAAAATTCTCGAAGGGACGTTAAACAAACAAATAAACAATAATCGATTTAAGCAGGTGAATAATTGGATATAAACATTTTTTAATCCTTTAAAACTTTAACCTTCAAATTATTTTTTTCAGCAAATCTTTAACAGCAAATAGTTCATTTCCATTTACCATTATTTTGATAAAAAGACTAAATCAAATCAAAGTTGAATAGGTTACTTCTATCGTAGCTTTTAGTTCATCTTATATTACCTTTAAGTAAATTTAACGCCTCATCAGTAAGTCCATCGAATTTCGTTTTCAGTGAATTATATTTCCTAATATCCCTATTGCTGACAAAGTACCCCAAGATAGGTGGCAATCCACAGATAACCAGAGTTGCTATCAGCCAGGTCTTCATGGTGTAACACAGCTGAGAGAATGAAAAGGCACATTAAAGTGATAATATACCTAAAGAAAAAAATGATTTGTTGGCAATAAAATGAAGTTTTTTTATTTACTAACGGGAAATCAGAATCATTGCAAGACATAAAGCTCTCTCTCTCTCTCTCTCTCTCTCTCTCTCTCTCTCTCTCTCTTCCAAACATACCTCCTAGTTGCTTCCAAAGACAGTACATATGATAATAGGTGTAGATGAAACAGACTCTAATGGTTAAATTTGAATTAGAATTTATATCGTAACATTAAACAGGTTATGCAATAGATAACCACAGTGACTTCAGTATTAGCATAAACATGATATATTAAGAACTATAGGACATTGCGTGTAATGACTAAATGGTTGAACCTGCATTTCATTCAAAATCGAGGTAGAAACAAGGATAATGGCATCCTATGTTGCATGTACATATTAGTCATTAGTTGCTCATTACGGAAATACGTTCTACGTGATAGGATGACGTTTCAGCTAATTTCATTGGGGGTTTTGAAAATGGAATTCGTACATACATTGACAACTGATTTTTTTTAAAGAAGTGCAATAATTGGAATTTTTGTTCTACTGGTTGTGCAGGTAATTTTGGCTACTATTGTCGACTTCTGGACTTCTGAACCTTGCAGCTTCAAAAGGGATGTAAAAGCTTTGACTTGTTCACAAAATGCTTAAAAACGTTAGAGTTTCATTGTTTTTTTCATTCAAGACAAAATAGTACAAATACAAAAATGTACAGAAATATTTTTTTTTCATAGTTTACAGAAATTGTCAAAATATTATCTGATTGTTGAGACATGGAATAAATAGAGAATTTTCAATCTTCTCTGGTTGTATGTGGAATTCACATCACGAGTGTGATGGGAGTAATTTTCAAATTTTTACGCGCGCGAAGCATTATTGAGAAATCCTGTCCAACACGTGAAATAAATACCATATACAACTAAAAAGATGAATGAATTTTCTGTTTATTGGATTTTCTTTGTTTTTCTTTTCATCCTCATTAGTTTGTTTTTATTGAAAGGTGCTGAATATCTATGCATAATAATATGTATAATCTCGGTGATAGATAATGTAATAATTACCATCGACAATATTTATAAATGTTTATTAAATCCATATTCCGACAGGTTGTCTGTATGTATACCCGTTCGTTTGTCTGAAAGGAACAATTTCACAAAAAGCATAAGAATTTCTTATTCAAATCACATCATTCTTAATCTTCCTGATATATCTGAGTACTGATAAATTTTGAATGGATTTTTCTGATAAGTTCAAGTTTAAAATTTTCTTTCTGAGAAACTTTGTTGAGTAATTCACTGTGTGTCTAGATAATTAGTACAGATTATTTTGGCATAATAAAAAAACATTGTAATTTTCCCCCCAAACTTTCACTATGATGGAGTGTATCGGTACAATACATATGTAAATCAAACTACTTAATATTATATTTGTTTATCAGTTGTATCAAAAGAGCATCACATCATTAAGAAATTTAAAATGGATTATAATTAAACAGGATTTCCTCGGATAATTTTTCTTTTTTTATCATATTTTTTCTACTACGTGTTTAACCATATTTAAAATGATTTTATATACGGTCTGTAGAACCATTATAACATTTGATAAAGTAGGAGTAATCTTGCAATTAAGGAATTTATAACATTTTGAGTATTTTTTTTTTGGGGGGGGGGGAATAAGTATGTGGTTGGGGCATCTAAAATGACTCATAAAAGAGTACATACCATAGAACAGAATTTGTGAAAAATATGCCCTTTTCAATAAACTTTCCTTTTCTAACTTAAAAGTGAGTTGAAATCAATTATCGCTGATTTTTAAAGAACGGTGCTTTGGTAATTTTAATGAAGAATTCATTGATAGTTTATTACGCTGCCAGTTAAGAAGAATTTTTTGAAAATGTATAACTTTGTTTATTCTAAATCGCTCTATGAATGCTTTGTAACCGAAAGGTTTAGAAAGCTTCTTTTCTCCAGTCCTCTTTAAGTTCGTAATATTGGAATTTTGTGAGATAAAGAAAGAGAGAGAGAATTAGTGTCTATGACAAATTATAAATTACAGAAAATATCCTTAATTATTATGTTGTTGCCATGTTTCTGTACCCTATTAGCAAGAACTCAAATAAAAATTGAAGTTTAAAATGAGAATCTGTTTTATATCTGGATGTTTGTCTGACTATAGAGACATGGACTCAAATAAAAATTGAAGTTTAAAATGAGAATCTGTTTTATATCTGGATGTTTGTCTGACTATAGAGACATGGAAAACTAACAACTTAACTACACAATGTATAGGTCGCCCGCGTGGCGCAGTGGTTAGAGCGTCTGCTCTAGAGTCGCGAAGTAAGGAATTGATCCTTACGTCGCGGGTTCGAATCCCACTGTGGGACATGGAGACCGGTCCTTCGGATGAGACCGTATAAACCGAGGTCCCGTGTCGCAGTAGGTGCTGGCACGAAAAAGATCCCTCACTGCTCAATGGCCGTAAGTGCCGAGTATAGGACAAAATTTGCAGCTCTCTACCGGCAAGTGGTGGCGTCTCCATATGAGTGAAAAATTCTCGAGAGGGACGTTAAACAACATACAAACAAACAAAAACACAATGTATATGGCATAATTAAGACTTCATTTTCCATCAAGAACTTTCCCTTTTATGCCTTTATATTCCACTATCACCTGAATATGGGGTTTATGTCCCCAATCGATCATGTTCTGAGTAGGATCAATATTTATACATATGCAGGCTGAAAAATTAAGTTGATGATACAAGGCTTTCAGCAGTCTCGTTTAAAGTCAAATTTTATCTTCTTAATAATAATCTTGTTTGCAAAGACAGCCTATCGTTGGAATGAATTATGACTGAATATTTTATTCCATTTTTTTAAGCCATTGACGTAACACTAATTTTGACTATGGACTTCTCTGATAACCTGATAGATACAAAGCCTTGTGACGAGCTTGACCTGTCGAAAGAGAATGCTTAAACCCTTTCCAGGCTCTTCATCCTGCCTTTGCCTTCATAACGATGCGTACTGGTATTGGATAAGATCATCTTCAACTTTTTCATGAAATATGGAAATAGAGAACCATAATAAAGCTTAGAAGTCCATTGAAACAATACAAATTGGGAGCAGAACAAACACGTTCATCTATTTTCTACGGATTATGTTGACAGGCAATTTCAATATGTCACCATGTAACTTGTTTAAGCCAGCAAACAAGATTTATTTGTTAAAATGCAACTATTGTAAAACGTAATTCGTTAAAAAATGCATTCTGTGCCAAAAAGATATGTAACTGATATATGTTGACATTAAAGTTATTTATGTTGACTTATATGGAGATAAGTATATCAACATGCAACTTATTAAAAACTTCTTATGAAAGAAAATGCATGCTTTATTTTTTCTAGATTTTTGAATTAATGTACTATTTTGAAATCATTAAATAACATATCACTCCTCTTTGTTGGAACTGTGTACAATTCATGTTGTTTAAATGTACTTTTGAGCAAGATTACTGTTCGCTCTCTCTACAATTCATCAAAATAGGAATCAAAGAATACATATTTATATAAGTGAAATTGGTTTCTACATTTCATATCCGTGTTAAGCATAAGGAAATCCAATTAATTAGTAATATGCATATTTCAAGAAAACTCCGCCCAAACATGGCTGAAATATTGCCGACTCGGCGTTAAACAATTAACAATCAATCATTTCAAGAAAACATAGTATTAAAGTTTACAAAAAATATGTACAATTTTACAAATGAGCTTTGTTCTGTCGTTAAGAAATTAAAGCTCTAAAGCATTTGCAATGTCAGATAACTTTCTTGCATATCATAAAAAGTCAAGTTACATGTCGCCATATTCAGCTGCATCCCAACAAAGTTAGTTTGCATATCATCATACTTGCATGTTAATTAAATTTAAGTTATCTTGCATGTTTCCTAATTTAGTTGCATTTTGCAAAATAAATGTCAGATTTTTTCCGAAGGGTTATACATTATAATGTATACAGACTTAAAAGTAAAGATTTAGGGAGAATGATAAAATAATGCTGGGTTAATAAGGAAAATTCTTGATAATTATATGTTTCATCAATAATTAAACAACCTGCTTTACAGATTTTTATGACATTTTGAGTATCCTATGTCCTTAAGTTTCATAACAACATAATTAAGTAGCAAATTGAAATAAACAAATTGCAAGTTGCTAGCATAAGGTGCTTCTTATCAGCATTAACTTGCATGTTGGTATCATCCCCGGTCACACCCCTATGTATTGATCAGGCAGGTAGACGGAATATTCCATAGTCAAATATATAGTGTAAAATGAAAGGCCAAACAATTTTGGTATGAAATATGTCAATCAATATGCGACTCAGTGATAGGTTATACCTGCTAACAAGGTCATTATAACAGCCATAGAATTTACGAAATGCTGGCTTTACACATGGCGTTTGTTTGTATCCAGAGTGAAACGAATGCGCACAAATTTTATAGGACTGTAAACAAAAGTTTGTCATTAGCGAAGAAACAAGTGGAGAAGATTTCTGAATAGGCTGTCAAAAACATTCAACATTTCGTACGAGTCTTCTGTTTAACGTAATATTTGGTAGTTTTGAAGTATTATTAATTCAAAAATATAAATTCTACAATATTAACTGAGCTCTCATTTTCATAACATGTCGTATCCAACTTAAGTGGAATTTCAAAGCACTTTCAAGTTAAGCAGTGATGGATAAGTGATAGAAATATATTTTATAACCAGAACATTTCTAGTTGTCAGTTTCCTCCGATGACATTGCATCATTAATCTGTATACTAATCTTTTTATGTCATAATTTTCTTTTATCACCTTCTATCAAAGTTGACCGTAATCAAAAGGTGGTGTGCTTAAGTCCATAAAAAATATGTAGCAACTGTTCCTTCGCCAAGTGCTCGGCACTT